TGTGTGTGTGTGTGTGTGTGTGTGTGTGTGTGTGTGTGTGTGTGTGTGTGTGTGTGTGTGTGTGTGTGTGTGTGTGGAGGCAAGTGTCAGCGTCACAGAGACCTGCCGACTCAGGCGTTGCCAAAACACTGTCAGCGTGTTTTATTAGTGTGTCAGTGCTGTTTGTCTCCGCAGGCTGTGTGTATATCATGCCCGCTCCCCCCGCAGTCCAGCTATTTATTTAAGCATACAAGATGCAGCTGGGGCCACCGCGGCCGACAGGCAGCCATCAATTCATCCGCCTCAAACCAGGAAATCATCTTACAAAATAAAAAAAAAGAAGAAGAAGAAGGAAGCAATTAATTTGTGTTGAGCAAATTGGCCCAGAATTGATGTCACATCCTAAACTTCTGAGTCAATACCGCTTGTAGCAAATTATGTGAAAGGCCAAATGCCTGTTTTTGAAAATGAAATATGTTTCAACGCATATGAAATGGCTGCTCCACAGCTGATCTACAAATGTTGCAGCACTAAATCTCCCACACAGCTTCTTCTTTCACACACTCTCCCTCCCCGCCGCCTGGCTCCTATATTGCTGCTCTCTGATTTGCTCTGACTCGCTCCCTCCCGGACTCTTGTATTCTTGCTCTCTGACTCACCCACTTTCCCTCTTTCCACTAACAGGGTCATTAATAATAGGCAGGTTGTGTCGCTCCTTGGGTGTCAGGGGCAGTGGTGTTTCTTTTCCGGCCAGTGTATTGTCTTCATAAATGTATCTTGGGTGTATTTTTAGGGCTTCGATGCTTCTCTATTATGCTTTTAATTGTTATGAATTTTTAAAGAATGGCAGGACCTCAGATGTCATGACCCTGCTCACGAACATTTTACATTTAGTTACACTACAGAGCTTTTACTTACTTTAACCACACTTTAGTTTTCTCTGTACATCTGTTCCTGGAACCACCAAATCACTGAGATGTTTGTGTTCCTCCGCAGCCGTCTATGAGTTCAGGGTTCCTGAATCCTCCGATATTGGTTCTGCTGTGGGAGTGATCCGGGCCATGGACAACGACATAGGCGAGAATGCGGAAATGGAGTACAGGATCATCGGGAGCGACGGCCCCGGCATGTTCGATGTCACCACCAACAGGAGCACACAGGAGGGGGTCATCTTGCTGAGAAAGGTCAGAGACTCGGCTGGTGTTCTGTGAGGGATTGTATGGGGTTAAAGGCACAGAGGTATAAAAGCTGCGCCCAAGTATTTATATAAAAGGTTTATTCTGGCAAAAATATACACACATGTTAATACCGACATATTTTTTCTGGGTTATTTCAAAATAATATAATAAATACATTTTAGAAATTATTTCCAATATCGTCCCAAGATAAGACAAAGAAATACAACAAAACCAAAACAATCCAGTATTTCATACACATCACCACAATTAACCACAAAAATAATAGAAAATAACTCCTTTTTTTGCAACATTTCAAATTGTCCAAAGAATCCCACGAATGACCATGTTTTGTGTTACTGTGGATCCCTTAAGTCAGGGGTGTCAAACTCAAGGCCCGGGGGCCAAATCCGGCCCGCGACTTCATTTAATGCGGCCCCACAAGAGCTTGCAAAGAATATAACATGTTTATTATATGGTTACATGCTACTTTACAAAAGCATGTTTCCCATAAACTACATATCCCACAATGGATCTCAAATTTGACATTTTTCTCAGAATTTGACTTTTTTTCTCAGAATTTGACTTTTCTTCTTCAAAATATTCATTTTTTCTTAGAATTTGACTTTTTTTTCTCAGAATTTGACTTTTCTTCTTAGAATTTGACTTTTCTTCTTCAAAATATTCATTTTTTCTTAGAATTTGCCTTTTTCTCAGAATTAGATTTTTTTTTTTAAATCATTTTGTGACATTCTTAGTGAAGAGATTTGCAATGATTTGTCCTAGACTTCTGCTTTCAGACTTAGTTAATTATTATAAGTTATTACCCTATCCGATAATAATCCAATGCAGAGGCAATAATGCAATATAATACATTATTTTATATATAATAAATATTTATATATGTATTATTATATATAGTCTTAAAGTTACAACCGGCCCTTTGAGTGCAACCATAATGCTAATGTGGCCCGCGAAGAAATTGAGTTTGACACCCCTGATCTAAAGTAAGAAGGAATCCTTTAGAAAGGAGACAAAAGGCCATAGTTGCCAAATTGGCTTTTGAAGAGTGTAAGTCTACATGTATATGATTGGCCAGCACAGCAATTTTCCAGATGTAATGTGTTGGGACAAAGCCAGGTTCAACCCTGCCTTTTCTCACTGGAGCCTCCGGCATTGGTAGAATGAAGAGTCTGCAAAGTAAGCACTGAATGGTTTTGCAGAATCCTCTGACATGGATGTCCTTGTCTGACGATGGGGCCATCAGCTAATCTAAAGAAATAATGTTGAACATAGACAAAAGGTTTTAAAAGCCTTTAGTTCGTTATGAAAAAGATGATGAGTACATCTGCCAGTAGGTGAAATTCTTCAGCAGGAGAAAAGAAAATGTTATCCAACAGCTCCGCAAAGAGAGAGATGTCAGACGGTGAAAGCTCCCTCACAGCAGCAAAGTGGATGTGAAACACCCTTCAAATGTGATCAGATTATTATGCTTTCTCTATTCTGCTCTCAGCAGGTACAAGGTAACGACTTAAAACGATCAACAAAGACTTTATCCTACTGTAGAATAATGACGAATAAATTATAACAAAATAAATTAAGAAAGATCTCTGATGATAGATTATTTGGCTCAGGAGTTATGAAGCTTCCCATCTGGGATGATCGCGTTTCTTATTTTTTATCAAAGGAACAATGGTAAGCAGCAGCTTTCATCAGCAGTTTGTCATCTCTTGGCCATCATCGGCCACGTTGTACAGCGATGTTAAAACCCTTCCAAATTACCTTTCCTTACGGCGACGGAGATGTAAATGAAATGAACAGCATCAGGCCACGTCTGTACAATGATGCGTGACAGTGTTTGACGTGTGAGCAGTGCTTTCTCATCATTAAAATGACAGTAAGTAAATAGAGGTTCCGAGCCAACTCATTATAAAGCAGTAGACTTACATTCTTTTCTCCGTGCTCTTTCCATCCTGTGTTAACTGTCTTTCATTATTGCTTCCCGTTATCCAAATTAAGTTATCCTCCCTCATTATTTTGCGAAGAAGGAAATAGGACGTGTCAGCAGAAAGTAAGAATATCATCAGTGGGCCTGTGCTATGACAGATTAATTGGATTACAGTTGCATTTAGCCTAGATTAGGTCCTGCATGGGGACCTGGATGGTGACACAGATGGATTAAGTTAGAGAGTGCAACACTGACGGGAAGAGCTCTTAATTGTTTGGGGTAAACGCAGCGGCTCAGGGGTGACATCAAATTTCAAGCGTTTTCCTATTTAGCGTTGCTTTCCACTGGGTATTTCTCAAAGTCATCAGGGAAACTTTGCTTCACTGCCACTAATGGGTGCAGTGGCACCCATTAAAGATATTATTCTGTCCTTTATCTGCTACATCCAGTAATGCATGGAGACGAAACACAAGTGTGTAGACTTTCAGATTTAAAGAGGCACGATTCTGCTTTTTGGGGTGGGTTCCCTTTCCTGTTTCTGTGCATGTAAATGGTCTGCAAAGGCTAAAATCCCTGTTCCCTCCAGAGGGAGTTGAAACGCCTCCATTGGACTCCTTTGTTTACTTCCATAACATAGTCACATTACGATGTAGGACTCTTTTATTGGCTAGCATTTCATCACATTTTACGTGATAGGCTAAGGGGAGGGAGATCTCTAAGCGGTTGGCCAATCACAATGAGGCCTGCCCGCTAACCAATCAGAGCAGACTGGGCTCTGGTTTCAGACAGAGGGTGAAAAGAGGTGTTGCAGCACAGGCAGTATGAGCTTTTTGAACATTAAAGCATGGAGACATGTCACAGTAGAGGCAGAATACAAATATGCACCTGAACATGTGTATAATATGTCCTCTGTAATACCAATGCCTTATTTTTTGCTTTTGCCAATGTTATTCATAAGAGAAAACAGCTTGAATACAGATACCTAAACAGGATTTGTGTCTTTAGTATGTATGATAATTAAATTGCATTACCAGCTAAATGTATTCTCTACATGAAATGCACGATCTCCACTCTTAACCCCGATCCGCCCCCGAACCCTTTGCTGCGGCCAGCTGTTACCTGTTCTCAACTCTGACCCCCCTATTGACTGTCCGACATAACTCAACCCGGGTGGGTTCTGAAAGATGTGATTTCAGGGTGTCTACCAGATGTTTACACTAAACCTAAAAACAGAGATATCATTCAGTCTGACTGCAGCCAGTCGGTAGCAGCCATAGCTCATGTCCCCATGCAGATGTTTGTCATCTCACCGGACCCTCTATAGGGGTTTAGTGTCAGTGTCGGCTCAGTGTGCCCCATAGCAGACAAAGGGGGGGTCACAGCAGTGAATTACCCAGGCATGTGATAGCAGCGCAGCTGGTGGTAACACATGTAAGGGGCCCTGCACATATGTTAGGTACTTAAGCCATCAAAGAGATTGTAATCCACAGAATTGAGTGGATCATCATTACAAGCGTCCTTTGAACCAACTTTTAATAAAGATAACACACCGCTGCGACCTTTCTTATCAAGCCGTCTCATCACATCCAGATGAGATAAAATGGGGGCACATCAAAACTAAGTTTGTCCAATTACCATTCATCTTTTTTTCCTACTCCCCCAATTGATATAATTAGGTTGCGTTGAGCGACTTTGCTGGCTGAATGTATTAAGGCAGTCAATAACAGTAGATTCAAATAATCTCCCTGAAAATGGAAAAATATCTCCTTTAATACTGTGAGGTTCTTTTCCTCGCAATGTCACTGCCATAGCAGATTATGAGGCTGGAGAATATACACGGCAGAGCAGAGAGATGATAGCTCCTCCTGCCTCCCTTGCCACCATGTTCAACTTTTTCAGTTGCCCCTTTTCCCAGAAATAAAAAAAGTCCTTTATGAATAATTGAAGGCCTGCTAGGGCCGAGTTCTGAAGGGAGGCTGAAATAAGGCGGCAGATGAAGACAAGCTGCGAGGGCATTGGAGCCCGTCTGATTTGTGCATGAGAAATAAGATGGGAATTAAAGCATGGTACACTAGCTGCCACCGTACACAGGCTGCTGCTATGTGCTGCTGTCAGACCCCTCCACCCAACTGCAGAGTGCTGCTGGGAGCTCAACCATCAACACTGAACTGTTTTAACAACAGCCCCTATAGTTAATGGAAATTGGAAGTAAAAGCTTATTATGTCACTGTGTGCTTGAAGGGTTTGGAGTGAATGCAGATCATGCAAACTGATGAATAATGGCGGTGGAACAACGGCCGTTAAATATGTTAACCGTCGTGTCGGTCAAATCTGACCCATTTACTACTGTCATTCATCATACTGTAGCCTACATATTGTGTTTTATTTTGATTCCCGCAAGGCTGAATAATATCTCTATTACATATTTAATTGCTAATCACAACTTCCATTGAATTTTGAGTAGTTTAGTTTAGGAAATGAATGGGTGACCTTAGATTATGTTTATCCATCAGATAGTATCAGATAACACCCACAAATCAACCACCATGTTAGTTTTGGAATACATTTTCAGTGTCTATTTGTATTCTATGCAGCTATTTACATAAACCAGTAGTCTGAGACATTGTTTACAGCTTAAAAGGGATTTAAATGAAATGTGTGATGATTAACGGTTTTTGTGTTAATGTAGAGTAGAGTAAAAAAGGGAATACCAAAGTAAGAGCAAAAACGAACACAACAGGAAGGTGAATGCCATTGTTTCAATAGCATAGTGATGTCAAAAATAACCTCCATAATATTAATGACCATAATACTTCCTCTGTTCTCTAAGGAGCTGTTAGATCTCCTTCTGAAATAGCCGGCTGAATATTCACAAACACACATAACACTCCCACCGCACCGTCTTCACGGCACGATCGTGATAAACGAGCGACACCAAGTCAACAGACACTTGTCTTCGCTTACTATTCTCCTCGTTTATTTGGGTTAAATTATGCAGTCCAAAGCTCCTTTTTTATTTTTAAATCAGTTACCGGTGTGCTGCTCAGTGTCTCCGGGGACC